AAACAAAGCCCAGCTCTTCAAGCTGCTTCACCTGCTCCTCGCTAAGCCTTCCTCTGAGCTTGGCTTTGCGCTGGGTGTTGATCCAGAATCCAAGATTGAACCCACCAGTGGTGACGTGCTTAATAGGTACCCGCACATGGCCGTGAGAGTCCCTAAAACCACGAAGCTCTTGAAACCCCTTCAGCCAGCGCAAAGGCCACTCGCACCCTGCCGCAACTTTAGGAAACACGAGAACTTGCAAAAGCTCAGCTGCAGCCTCCAACATCCCTTGCACCTCCATGTTCTGGGGGTCATATGCCGCCAACACGTCGATCCGTCGGTGGGGCGTCCTTGCAGTCGCTCGGAGGGACTCCCGAAACACCGGATCTGCACTCGCCAGGTCACTCAGCAAACGACTCAATACTGCATCTTCCACACAGGTGCTGTTGCTGCACTGCACGATGGGAGGAGCAATGACCAAAGCCTCAAACAACTCAAGGTCCTTTGAGCAAAGCCTATCATGCATGCAAGTTCTGATTTGTTTGCAAGGAACAAATGAGCAGCGCAAGTGTCTAAATTCAATGCAGCCAAACGCGGAAACAAAGGACAATCTGTTCAAAACCATGCCGAAAATGCGTCCACTTTGTCTGGATGCTCCCGCAGCACTCTTCCCACACACTGCTGCAGCCTGATGCCCTTGCGTGGCGCCACGAACAAACAGGTGTCCGCTGCTGGGAGGTCCACCCCTTCGCTCAAGACGTCAACCTCAGGCAGGGGTGGGCCAAACACATTGCTGGAAACAAGAGCACGGACAAAACTGTTATATAACTGTTATACTATAACTCCAATCCAATTCCGGGAATCTTTAATTATATACAGTATTGAATGTTACAGTAGTGAGTGGAGGAACTGCAACCAAGCATATCGTATCACACTAAACCGTTGATGTTTGCTGCATGCAAGTGAGCAACCGTCACCAGCACTCGGATTCCGCCATGAGCTTCAGCACGCTGGAAGCTATCCAAAATATCTTGCCGGTCCGGTCCAGCCGTGTGTGCGTTATAGTGGGCTGCAGCAATGCCAGCTTGAAGTAACAGGTCAGTAAAGACTTTGGCCTCGTGGACGGTGTTGCAAAATGCCAAGATCTTCCTTGATAAAGGCCTGTGGCAGCCAAATCCTAAAGAAAAAGGGAATCATTGCACTCAAAAGTCAACGCGCCTGCAAACACAACCACACTAAGTATGCCACTAAGATCCA